GATCCTGCTTAAGTCCATTTGATATATGATGTCATTTATTTCGATGTTTCTTTTAAATTTTTTCTAGATGACTTGTCTATTGGAAAGAATGGGGCATCAAAGTCACCCATTATTATTGAATTGGAGTTAATGGGTGCCTTTAATTTCAGTAGTATGCTTTTATTAAATCTGGCACCCCAGAGTTTAGTGCACATATGTTAGGGTTGTAATGTCCTTTTGATTAATTTGATTAATTGTTCCCTTGATTATAAAGAAGTATCCTACTTTGTCATTTCTGATTGATACTGTATTATGTTTCTTAATTACTTTTTTCTTCTCTTTTCTTTTTTTCTTTTTTCTTTTTGGAGACAGGGTTTCACTGTGTAGCCCTGGCTTTCCTAGAACTCACTTTGTAGACCAGACTGGCCTCAAACTCACAGATACCTGCCTGCCTCTGCCTCCCCAGTGCTGGGATTAAAGGTGTGACCCACCACCACCTGACTTTTTTCTTTTATTTTTTAATTTTTCTTGTTACATGTATATAGGCTTATAAATTCATAACTATAAGGTCTGAGTCCATGTAATGTTACTCATATATTTATGTTTTTAGGACTAATCACATGGTATTGGTTAACCAATTAGAGGCCTTACCCCTGGTAAATGCTGATTCTTCCTTTCTTAGCAGTCATTAATTACCTGTAGCTTTTCATCTAGTGGTGGGGCCTTGTGAAATTTTCGCTACCTGTCTTTGTTAGGGTTTCTACTGCTGTGATGAAACACTATGAACAAAAGCAGGTTGGGGAGCAAAGGGTTTATTTGGCTTTTATTTCCACATTGCAGTTCATCATTAAAGGATGCCAGGACAGGAACTGAATATGGCAGGAACCCGGAGGTAGGAGCTGATGATGCAGAGGCCCTGGAGGGGTGCTGCCTACTGGCTCGGTCAGCCTGCTTTCTTACTGAATCCAGGACTACATGCCCAGGGGTGGCCAGACCCTCAATGGGCTGGGCCCTTCCCCATATCAATCACTAACTAAGAAAATGTCTTACAGGCCTACCCAATCTTATTGAGGCATTTTCTCAATTGAGGCTCCCTCCTCTCCACTGACTCCATCTTGAGTCAGGTTGACAAAAAACTAGCCAGCACACCACCTACATTGGATATCAAACAGTGTTGTCATTGTTTGCATATTGTTAAGGCTACTGTGTTGTTTTGACTTCATGAGTGCAACTTCCCTGTCCTATATAACAGACATAAACTCACAGTAAATGTCCTGGTCTTCTGACTCCTACAACTTTTTTTCTTTGCCCACCTACTGTGATAGTCTCTCAGCCAAATGCTTAGGGGCTGTGTTGTAGATGAATCAATTGGGCCTGGGTACACCATGGCCAATTGTTCTCTGCATTTTGAGTACTGTGTCTTTCTGTAATGGTCTCACTTGTTGCAAAAGAATCTTCTTTGATGAGGGGTGAGAGCTACACTCATCTGTGGTTCTAAGTATTTCCCCTGCTGTTAAAAACTATACTGGTTTAGGAAAAGGGCAGTGCAAGTTCTCCTCTAGTTTCCATTGTCTCACCAGCCATGGGCAAGGTTTATATTACCAGGCAGGAACTCCCTCCTATTGAACTGGACTCAAGTCCAATTAGACAGCTGTTAGGTGTGACTATTGCAACTCTGAGTATATCTTGCCATGCCGGCAATTGCTGTGGTTCATAGGCATTGCAGCGGGGTAGGACTATTGATTTATTTTCTCCCTTGACAGCTTCTTGCATAACACTTTTTTAGTTCTATAAAAGCTAGTCTTCAGGGAGGAGACTGGCAGGTCACTTACATCTTGATATGCCAAGTCCTGTGTTCAAAGTGTATGGTTTCTTCAGCACTAGTAATTTACCATCAAAATTTGGGATGCAACCAAGGGCAAGTAAAATAGCCTATATCGTCTTAGAGGTCTCTTGGACTCTCCTGATCAATAACTGGATAGGAGGTTTCTCATGACTGTCATAACAGCTTTTGTTAAATAGTCTATGGGTCTTGTGGGTAGTAACATCACCCCAATGGCATAACTCCATTTAAACTCTATCTATCTATCTATCTATCTATCTATCTATCTATCTATCTATCTATATCTATCATCTATCTACCTCTCTATCATCTATCTATCTCTATATCTATCATCTATCTATAGATATATTTATAGAACATGTACTTTGAGATAAACATAAAATTATGACCTAAGACTTTTTCAAACATCTTTAGTGTTATGTATCCCTGCCCTTTCCCTCTCCGTTTGCATTGTCCTCCCTAAGCCCACCCCAGTTAAACCCATTTTCCTGATTTCCATCTTCATAGCACCTGTCAGATAAGGTCAATTTTTTTTTTTTTGATAATAAGATATTGACACCTGCTTGTTTTCTGGTCTCATTTTCTTTGTATCTCTTTCCCATCCTTTCACTTTAAGATGGATTTTGATTTAGTTTCTTTTTTTTTTAAAGATTTATTTATTTATTATGTATACAGTGTTCTGCCTGCATATATGCCTACGTGCCAGAAGAGGGCACCCAGATCTCATTACAGATGGTTGTGAGCCACCATGTGGTTGCTGGGAATTGAACTCAGGACCTCTGGAAGAGCAGTCAGTGCTCTTAACCTCTGAGCCATCTCCCCAGCCCTTGATTTAGTTTCTTAATCCATATCATTAACCTGTGTCTTTTAATTGGAAAGTTGTGGTTACCAGTATTTAAAATTATTATTGAAAAGTAAGTGTTGATGACTATCATTTTTCTGATGGTTAATTTTTAGTCCTATTTTGTATTTCCATAATTACAGCTTCATTTGTCTTCTTTCTGTAGTTTCTTGCTTATGTTTTTTTTCCTGTGTTTAGTTTGAAGTATTGTTTCCAGCATTCTCTGTGGGCTGGTTTGTTGAACATGAATTACTTTATTCCATTTATATCATGGAAATTTTTTCTTTCTCCTTCAACTCTTGCAGTTTTTCTGGGCACAGCATTACGGGTTGGTATATTACTTATCTTTCTACTGCTGTGGTAAGACATTTTGACTGAAAGCGTCTATTTGGGCTGATGTTTCCAGAGGAGTAAAAGTTCACTACCACCATATTAGTGAAGTGTAGTAGCCAGCAGACATGGCAACTGGAGCAGTAAGCTGAGAGGACACAAACAGGAAGGAGAGAGAGAGAGAGAGAGAGAGAGAGAGAGAGAGAGAGAGAGAGAGAGAGAGAGAGAGAGAAAGGACATGGAAGCAACACTAATGTTTTAAATTCTCCAAGTTCACCCCCCAGTTAGATAATTTCTCCATACCAACTGGGACTCATTTCTTCAAATCTACAAGCCTATGAGGGACACTCCCATTCAAACAACCAAAATTGGCATCTGTGGCCTTTTTGTCCTGACACTTTCTCAGGCCTTGCTACTGTAGCACCTGAATAACTACTTGCTTCCTAGTACTGCCCAGTGCAGGAGTAATGTGGGCATTAGTGTTGGGTAACTAATGGATCATGTTCTGACATCAATGCTAACTAACAGGAAACATTATTAGTCCTCTTCAAGATCTACCTTCCTTGACCTTCACGGGCACACCAATAGTGCCTGCTTCTTAAAATTTGGAAGGATAGGGCAGAATAGTGTTCAGAAACCTCTTTGCATTATATTTTGGCATCCTGGAAATACTCAATTAATGTTTGTCATTACAATATTCACCAAGAATTTAAAGCCTTGCAACTTCTATCCACAGAAGAGCTGCCTTTCCTACCAATCCATGCAATGAATGCAACTTACTCATCTATTAACTCTCATCATTTGGTTCCTAAGAAGAATAATTCTATACCACAGTTCTATTAACTGGAATACTGGAGTCATTGTTCTATATAGTAAATTTATTTCCAAAATATAGAGAGAATAGTGAATATTCTGTATATATTTCCAACACATTTTCTTTAGCAGAAAATTCTTTAAGGCAAGCCATAGAAATTGTGCATTATTTTCTGAAATAGGCACAATGCTGTGATGTCTAAGAATTCTGAAAACAAAAGTTATATTTTCTAACCTGAAGCATGCTGCCACCTTGAGTAATCATACATGTATTGTGAGAATGAAAAAACAAGAGTGCCACAGGCACTACTTTCTTGATTATTAGAGGCCCATACAACAGGAGGAGAGAAAAACCAGTATCTAGTTCTTCATCATAATCGTCATAGCACTGCCTATCCATGCTATTGTCACATTATTTTTCTGTGATTTGTATAAGATCTAAATTCCAACTAACTGCAGACTAGCATACCTAAGTTACCTGAATTACAAGTTGGCAATGATTCCTAAGCATGCTTCATTTTGCTCCATCTACTTATGCCTGAATTCAAATTCCAGAAATGTACAAGTTGCTTAACCTCTCTGGACCCAGTTCCTGCATACATAATGGAAAAAAAAAAACCATAGTATTTCCTTCCTACATTGTTGTCAAAATTAATTGAGTCAGTATGTTCACTGTGTACAATAGCATGGTATCTGGTACTCGGTGATAGTCTATTCAATTTGGTTCTCTGACAATTATCACTCTAAAGTTATCATTCTAAGCATTAGAGACAAGCAAAGGAATAAAATACACTAAATCTCATCATTTTGAAATCAGTTAAGAAAATGGAACCTTTTCAATGAATTCAATTCTACTTAAAGTCAACACTTCTAGCAAGGACCACGAGAAAGAAAAAAGCAAGATTCAAATAGGCAAAGATGGCTTATTAACCTTGGATATATTTTTGGAAACTCAGGCTAGGAATATATTTGCATAAGAAAATACATACCTTTTTCACGTCCGATTACTCATAGGCACTATCTTGGAAAAATCTTACACTAATTGAGATGCTAAATCATCCTTTGTAGGGCCCAGAAATGTTTCTCTGCAACCTGAAGCTGTCTACTCACATTTGAAATAGTACAACTTCCCATGATTCTCATTTTCTATATAGTAAGAATGCCTTTTCATTTTTATATATTCACTCAAATTACCTGAGTTCATTGTTATGAATTTCCATGATTTTTCTTTCCAACTTCTGTGACTGCTTGGGGAAAATCTCAAACTCACTGATATAATTCTCAGGATGCTCATCAGGATAATAATCACCGAACTCAGCTGTAACCATCAAAAATTGGAGAAAAAGAGAGAAATTAAAAACAATACACTCAGGGCACATATACACTGTCTTCCACTATCCAGAATAAGAACATAGACTGAGCTTACCCAATATAGTGAATTTGTACTCCTGGGGAGAATACCAGTCTCATTTTTCAGAGACATATTCGTGTTCACATCTGACTATGTGAGTGTGGGTACCTGTTAACTCTTTCTGTGCCTCATTTTCTGTGTCCTAAAACAATTTAAAGCATCGTTGTTTTTCATTAGGGCACTGTTGACATTTAGGGTGCTGAACAATTTTATTGTTTCAGATTTTCCACAGATGTGTAGGACCTGCACTCATTGCAATGTTCATAGCAAAATCACTGTTATCATCAATAATAACACCCTCCAGAGCTAGTCAAAGGATATAAAATTTCAATCATGTAGAAAAAATACATTCAAGAGATCTATTATGCTACATAGTGAGTATACTTTGTATATTATTTTTTAAAATAACTAGAATAGATTTGGAGTGTTCACACAAAATTATATATACATATACATCTTGAATTTAGAAACCATAAAATGCACACCTTCAAAATGCCATATTGTATGTTATAAATATATATAAGGTTTTGTGGTAGATCTTTTTCAGCTCTTTGAGGAACTTCCACACTGATATAATGGCTGCAGCAGTCTGCACTCCCACTAGCAATAAATAACGTTCCCATTTCCCCAGCATTTTTCTTCATTACTCCTTTTTTTTTTTTTGGTTTTTCGAGACAGGGTTTCTCTGTGTAGCTTTGCGCCTTTCCTGGAACTCACTTGGTAGCCCAGGCTGGCCTCGAACTCACAGAGATCCGCCTGGCTCTGCCTCCCGAGTGCTGGGATTAAAGGCGTGCACCACCACCGCCCGGCTTCATTACTCCTTTTGAATCTTAGCCATTCCAACCACAGTAGGATGACATCGCAAAGCATTTTTAAATTTATATTTCCCCAACAGATAATGATACCCCCCCCCCCCCCCCCCCCCCCCCGTGGCTCTAAAGTTCAGTCATAATTGAAAACAAGAATCAAAATCTGGTTCATCACACATTATTACCAGCCATTTGAATTTCATCTTCTGCAAACTCTGTATTTTGTTTCATGACACACTTTAGGATTGGGTTATTTTTCTTTATGTTTATTTCTTTTCAATTTCTTGTATAGTGTAGATACTAATACTGCTAGTAACACAGCCATTAAGCATTTTTTTCCTATTCTGTAAGTTACCTCTTCATTCAAATAACTATGTCCTTTGCTATAGAGAAGAGATTTAGTTTAAAGGTCTTTCCTGTGCCTATAAGTTCAAATATATACTGTACTTTCTTTTTGTCAGATTCAAGAAATCAGGTCTTTCTTTTCTTTTCTTTTTTCTTTTATTTCATTCTTTCTTACTTTTCTTCTTTCTTTCTCTTCCATTCTTTTTTACCACCCCATCCCCTTTCAACAGAGATGGCTGTCCTGGAACTTATCTATAGACCAGGCTGGCCTTGAATTCACAGAGATCCACTTGTCTCTGCCTCCTGAGTGCTGGGATTAGTGTGCGCCACCACCACCCAGCTCAGGATCACGTCTTTTAAAAAGACTTATTACTCACAAATTGACAGGAAGAAAGAACAAAAGCTTAGATCCTTAATAAGCTGTTCCTTTGGGAATCATGAAAGCCCCCTCTGTCAGGGAAATCTTGTCTGTGTTGTTTTTATTACTATAGCTCTATAGTATAATTGGAGATGAAGGATGGTTAGATCTCCAGTGATTCTTTTATTGTTCAGGATTGTTTTAGCTATCCTGTCTTAAGGTTTTTGTTTGTTTGTTTGTTTTATCATACATGTCTTTCACTTGCTTGATTAGAGTTACCCCAAGGTACATTATATTTTTGATGCTATAGCAAAAGATATTATTTATTTTCCTGGTTATTTTTTCAGTCCATTTGTCATTTGTATATAGGAAAGCTACTGATTTTTCTTTGTTTGTTAATTTTGTATCTTACTAATTTTCTGAAAGTGATTTTCAGCCAGAGGTATTTCCTGGTGGAAGTTCTAGGGTCCACTTATGTATATTATCATATCATCTGCAAATAAAATACTTCAACTTTCTCCCTTCCTATTTGGATCCCCTAGATCTCCATCACTTGTCTTATTGCTCCAGCTAAGATTTTAAGCACTATATTGCACAGGTATGGAAAGATTGGACAATCTTATCTTGTTCTTGACTTTAGTGGAAATACTATGAGTTTCTCTTAATTTAATTTGATGTTGACTATGGGATTTCTGTACAATGCCTTTATTATGTTGAGGTATGTCTCTTGTATCCCTAATCTCTCCAGGACTTTTATCATGAAGGGGGTTGAATTTTGTCAAGGGCCTTTTCTTCTTCTAATGAAATGACCATTTTTTGTCTTTCATTTTGTTTATATTTCATTATATTTATAGATTTACGTATGTTGAACCATCCCCGTATCTATTGGATGAGGCCTACTTGGTCATGATGGATGTGTTCTTGGGTTTGCTTTGCAACATTTTCTTGAGTATTTTTACATCTATGTTCGTAAAGGAAATTGGTCTATAATTCTGTTTCTTTATTGGGTCTATGTGTGCTTTAGGTATCAGGGTGACTGTGATCTTCTAAAAAGAATTAGCCAATGTTCCTTGTGTTTCCATTTTGTGGAATCATTTGTGGATTAATGAGGTTAATTCTTCTTTGAATGTCTGATAGAATTCTGTGCTACAACCTGGACTTTGTGTGTGTGTGTGTGGGGGGGGGGAAGGTTGGTGGATTTTTAATTACTGCTTCTATTTCATTAGGTATTATAGCTCTATTTATATTTCTTTCATGATCTTGATTTAGCATTAGTTGGTGATAAATATAGAGAAAATCACCCATTTCTTTTAAGTTTTCCAACTGGGTGGAGTACAGGTTTTTCGAGTATGTCTTTATGATTCTCTGGATTTCCTTGGTATCTGTTGTTATGTCCCCTTCTCATCTCTAGTTTTATTAATTTGCAACCTTTTTCTCTGACTTTTAGTTAATTTGGCTAAGTATTTGCAAAACTTATTGATTTTCTCAAAAAATTAACTCTTTGTTTCATTGAGTGTTCATATTTTTTGTTTGTTTCTGTTTGATTTCAGCCCTGAGTTTGAGTATTTCTTGCCATCTATTCCTTTTTAGTGTTATTTCTTCTTTTTGTGGCAGAACTTTCAGGTGTGTTGTTAAGTTACTACTATGAGAGCTCTTTGTTCCTCTTCTTCTTCTTCTTTTTTTTTTTTTGTAGGTACTTAGTCCCATGAAGTTGCCTCTTAGTACTGCCTTCATTGCTCCATAAGTTTGGGTATGCTGTATTTTGTTTTTATTCAAATCTAAAGATTTCATTTATTTCTTCATTTCTGTCTCAACCCATTTTATATCCAGGAGTCCATTGTTGGTTTTCCATGAGTTTGTAAGCTTTCTGTTGTTATTGATATACAACCTTAATTCATGGTGGTCAGATAGGATTCAGGGTGTTATTCCAATTTTCTTGTATTTGAAAGTTGAGACTTGCTTTGTGTCCAAGTATGTGGTCAGTTTTGGAGAATGTTCTATGAACTTCTGAAATGAAAGTATATTCTTTTGTGTTTAAGTGAAATGTTCTGTAAATATCTGTTAGGTCCATTGGTTTATGACACCAGTTAGGTCTAGCATATCTCTATTTAGTTTTTGTCTAGATGACCTGTCTATTGATTAGAGTGGGGTACTGAAGTCACTCACTATCACTGTGTGCGGGATCAATATGTGATTTAAACTATAGTAGTATTTCTTTTATGAACTGGGTGCCCTTGTGTTTGATGCATAGATGTTAAGAACTGCAATATCCTGTTGGGGGATTTTTCCTTTGGTGAATATTTAGTATTCTTCTCTATCTCTTCTGATTAGTTTTGGTTTGAAGTCTATTTTGTTGGATATTAAAACAACTACACCGGCTTGTCTTATGTCCATTTTCTTGGATAGCTTTTTCTATCCATTTAACTTGAGGTGATGTCCATCCTTAATGTTGAGCTGTATTTCCTAGATGCAGCAGGAGGATAGATCCTGTTTTCTAATCTCTGTCAGTCTATGTCTTTTTATTGAGCAATTGTGACCATTGATTTTGAGAGTTATCAATGAGCAGTATTTTTGATTCTCATTTTTTTGTTGTTGTGGTGTTCCCCCTTTTGATTTGGTGTTCTGTTGTTATCTATTCCTTGTGTTTTCTTGGGTGTGTTTAACCCCTTCTTCTTCTATAGATAGACCCTTCTGGCTTTTACAATCTCCACTGAGCAGTAAGGATTAATTCTAATAGGTCTATCTTTATACATTACTTGGTCTTTTCCCTTTGCAGATTTTAATATTCTTTCTTTGTTCATCACATTTAATGTTTTGATTATTATGTACCTAGGATACTTTCTTTTCTTGTCCAGTCTATTTAGTGTTCTGTATCTTCTTACACCTTTGTAGGCATTTCTTTCTTTAGGTTAGGAAATTTTTCTTCTATGATTTTGTTAAATTTTTTTTTCTGTGTCTTTAAGATGGGATTCTCCTTCCTTGATTCCTGTTATTCTTAGATTTGATGTTTTCATAATACCTGAGAATTCCTGGATGTTTTATGTCAGTAGATTTCAGATATAACATTTTCTTTGACTGGTGTATCCATTTCTTCTATTGTATCTTAAATTCCTGAGATTCTCTCTTTCATCTCCTGTATTCTGTTGGTGGAACTTGTCTCTGTAGTTCTTGCTTGAATTCCTAAAGTTTTCATTTACAGAATTCCCTCAGTCTGGATTTTCTTTATTGATTCTATCTCCATTTTCAGGTCTTGAACAGTTTTGTTCATTTTCTTTCATTGTTTGTTTCTGTTTGCCTGTATTTCTTTAAGGGGTTTGTTAATTTTCTTTTTAATGACATCTACTTCAGCTATATTGCTTTCTCAGGGTCTACTGTAGTAGGGTTGCTGGACTCTA